ATGCTATCCCTTGCAGAGACCAAAATCTTTATTAATAATAGTTTTTGTAATGCCCCTTAGGATGTAACTCATATAACTGATGTTATTGCTCCTAATCATAATGCTCTTTATAATAGCCGAACCCTTCTACTTCGGACAGCAATAAGACAGCTTCTAGAAAAAGCAGTAAACGCTCAGTCATGCAAAGGTCAGGATGCAGTCGGGTTTACTTTGCCCAGGAAAGTGGCTCGACCTTTCAAACTTGTTGAAAATATCATTGAAGTTTGAAAAACCCACAGAATGATGTAAATACCAATGAGCATAATGTTATGGATACTGAATCTGAAATTGTAGAGGTGTCAGCACCTAAAATTAAGCCCATAATGGCTAAACCAGACCTTCAATTTTCTGACTTACTCAAAAAAATGAGAGAAGATACAATGAGAGAAGTTAAATTTTGCAGGAAAGGTTTTCAAAATTTTCCCGAAGTCTGAGGAGGAAAATAGTGGTTACTAATTACTTAGATCAGCACAAGGTAGATTACTACCTGCTTACCAGACATTATGGTAAACCATTAAAAGTTGTAATCAGAGGTTTGCCAACAGATTGTCCTACTAATGAAATAAAAAATGAATTACGTAACCTAAGATTTCATGCTAGAATTTCTCAAATGCACTGTTTAAAGTCAAAGGCACCTATGCCACTTTTTCAAGTTCAACTTGCAAATTTTCCTGAAGTCGAAAAAATTTATGATCTTACTTATTTCCTGTTATTTTATGTTGAAATCGTGGAACATAAAGTGAATGAGGGTGTTGTGCAGTGCCACAACTGCCAACACAATTCTGATATCTGTAAATTAAAACCATGTAGTGTTAAATGTGCAGGTCTCCACAAGACTTCTGATTGTACAGCCAAAAGATTTCCCAATGTTAAGTGTTGTACCTGTATAGAAGAACATACCACCAACTTTAGGGGCTGCCCAAAATTCCCTAAATTAAGTAACAACTGTTGATAAAAATGCTACTGGTAAAATTGATGATAAAAATACTGTTAAATCTTCCCAAGCTGCTCCTGGTATTTCACATGCAAATGTAACTAAAAATGTACAAAATTCAGCCAATGTTGTCAAAACCTCGAATAACAGCAATGACTTAGGCTTGAGCTCTTTTGTAGAAAGTTTCATACTCATCAAGGATGCAATATGTGAAAGGGTTTCTCCTGTCTAATAAAATTAAGAAAATATAGGCTATAATTACCAGAAATTCAATTAACTGAAAATGCAATTGATAAATTATTCTTACTATTCAACTTATTTGAAGAAATTTCTGTAAATATTAATGCCAACAGTGATTAATTACATAGAATAAAGGACTGTCTATGTTTCTAATGAAAACTGTTATAAATGCTATATGAAAAAAATTATATTACTACTGTTACAAATTAAGATTAAATAGTATGTAACATATAAATAATTGGCTAGCTGCTTCTCATTCTCTCATTCATTGTGACTTTTGTTGTATTTACACTGTTTATGCTATATGTATGAATTTGTAATGTAATGAATATGAGTGTTCATTTATATCAGTGTCAATATTCTTGTATTTACTTAATTTCAAAATTGCTTGTTCAAATTTTCTTATCGAAAGAATTGAACTTCAATATTTGTGTGTTTATGCATTTTATTTTCGGCAATTTCTGTCATCAGCTTGAACGACTTCTTACCAGATGCTTAATTGTTTACCAATTATCGCTGAGCTCATTTTATCAGTTATTTTACCCAGCTTAGCACCAAATCTCAGAATTTAGGCTTCAGGATTAGGCAAATTATTGAAAATTCATTACTTTGTCAAAATTACTATTCAAATTAATTTTTCTTTATTTCTGACATAATTAAGAAAAACCCAATTCTTGTTTGATCCAGGGTAGGGCCTTCAGCCTAGGCACCCTGGTGTGTACATCACTTCCATTCCGGCGGTCTGAGTGGTATCGGCAATTTACAACATTTCTCATGTGCTAAAGAGGATTTTCCTAAAATTTGCATTCTGAGTTATTCACAGTTTTTAACTTTATTGTGCATTTAATTACAATAAACTGCTAATTTATTCCTGCTCAAGTGATTATTTAAACAAACATACACAGATGCAGTAATTTGCAACAATATATTATACTAACTGCTAATTTTGATCATTTTTTTTTTTTTTTTACTCAGAATATTAGCAGTTAAAGGTGCCTTTGAAGATTATGCTTAGTTAGTTATTTGATTGTGGCAATGCACAGAAGGGCTATCTGTCTATGAGAATGTATGCTTTCATGAAGGATTTTTCTAAAAGCAATTGGCTCATACTTGTGTTACACAAGGAAGAAATCATGAACACCATCTATGCAATAGCCCATTTATCAAGATTTAAATCCAGGTGGAATTAACAGCATTCAGCTGCTTTAAACACTCAGCTATTGGAGGGTGCCAAGTGCCTCTGATATATCCTCAAACACATTGAACAACATTTTCAATGAAGAGTGACAGAGAAACAACTTTTCTCAGTTTACTGTACTTTGTGACATTCATTAAAAGAAACTGCTATTCAATTTTTGTTTGTTTGACAGGAGAAAGTAAAACTGACATATATTTGATACTTTGATTGTAAAAAAAGTTTTGTTCATTTTATACAATAGCTCTACGAATGTTAAAATGTATATGCAATACAAGTTTACAATACACAAAATATATAGCATATTTTGCTTGTGAAGTTTCTACACTTATAATAACCATACATTAATAAAAGAAACATGCAAAATATAATCCATACAGTATTTCAGTTAATTTCATAATTCTTTTCAGAATGGCAGTTTTTTCAAATGTCATCTCATTTATACAAGAAACTTGTACCTTATTTATGTAATGGAAATAAATGTTATTTCGTTTGCAAAATATGGCAGCTTTTCCAAATTAAAAAATATATCTGTATTTTTTTTAAATTTTATCACTTTATGCACAGCTTTTTTTTTTTTTTTTCCAAACATTACTTATGAGAACTAGTATTATATTTCAGTTTCTTCTCAATTAAAATGTTTTAAGACATCAAGTGCTGACCAGCTGGTTTAATGATCTGTGAAGTTCAAGTGCTGAGTGATTGACAGGATTCAGTTGTGAATCCTAAATAAGATGCAGACATGATGACTGTCTATGCCTTATCTGGGCACTTAAAATTAATGGAGTAATGATTAAAAAATCCCTCCACTATTTTTGTCATTTATACGCTCGGGGCCTGTGGTCAATGTCAAACACACCATCTAATCTCATCATTATTATTAAAAGAGGCAATTAAGGAGGTCTAACACTCAGATATGGAATATAAACACTAACAACTGCTGATTAACATTTAAAGTACATATTAGTACATATGAACAAGGTTGGAATACTGAATTCTACACTGTCAATGCATACTAAGACCTATTATCCATCAGTATAAGTATTATACATTAAAATATATATACCACTAAAAGTAGTTGAAACACTTTAATAAACTGAACTCATAATCCATTTCTTCTGAACTTTCGCTATGCAATTTAACTCAAAAGATTAGTCAATCATGTAGCTATTCTTTCAGTAGCCATACGAGTTTCCGTGGTTTTTTCACATTTATTAAACAAGCAAATCAGATGAATGCTAACATAGAAAGAACCTCTTGGGAAATTACTTCTTATTACAGAAAACCTGAGTAATTCAGAATTTACTATTGTTACAAATATAATAACACACACTTTTTTAACTTATCTAAAAACTGAAAACATAAAAAATTGCATTTAAAATTGAAAGATAAAACAATAACTATTTTATTCATATGTGATATTATAGAGTATCCATTATAAAATATTTCTTCTGCTTTCCTAGCGTGCCTTGTGCTGTAGTGGTTCTGCATGCTAGGCCGGTATTCCAGAAGTCTGTGGTTCAATTCCCGGCGAAGGTGGTTGCTAATTTTTCATCTCTTCGGCTTTTTCAAATTACCAAATGACTCTACAAGTGGCGCCTGAACTAAAAGGATGTTAAATGATGACTCTCCACAACCAGGATTTGGCAATTGGGTCCCCCCAAAACCCCAGTCGCCCCTTAAAAAAGGGATATATAAGGTATTTATCCCACTTTCCTAGCGTGCCTTCATGATTCTGCACGCTGGGCAGGTATTCCAGAGGTCCACTGTTCAATTCCTGGCAAAGGCTATTGCTAATTTTTCATCTCTCCGGCTTTTCCAAATTACCTAATGACTCTACACCATCATTCTACAGACACAAAAAAGATATGTCTAAGTATTTTCTGTAGTTATCCTTAATTCAAGTTTAAGATCCTTCAGCATATTTTAAGAGTAATAAACACTGCTAGTTTGCCCTGTGTTCTGTTCTTGGCAATTAAACTTAGCAGCTATATGGTGTTCTTCTGCATGTTTTAAAAATACCAGTTAGTTCTAGATAAAGTCCAACTAACCCTCAATGATTTAAGCATACTAACCTAACAACCTGGTAAAGAAAGAAGCCAACAGAAAAATGTTTATTCCAATGAAATTCAATGTTTCCACCTACCTTAATGGGAGATACAGGGAAAAGCTTTCTAAAGAAAGCAATGTCAATAAAACATATTATAATCAAATACTATGAAAATTACTCTCATCAAAGTATTTTGTCAAAATGTTTATGTATGATTTCTGATAAAATATATTTATTTTCACACCAATTAAAAAAACAATCCTTCACATTTAGTTTTTAAAATCACACAAAATTCAATCTTAAGTTGGTGTAGGTTTTATAGCAAAATCTATGCATTGCAAAGGAGTCTGACACAGGTTTCTACTTTTCAAAAAGTAAAAATATTTCTAACTTTAAACTGTCATGCTTTTCTTCCATACATTCAGTATGCAGAACAGTTAGCATGCCAAAAGCAATGTTAGTAAAAGGGAAAATTTTAATAAAGTTGCAAAGCAACATATATGTTAAATTTAATTAAACAAGAAGCAACAAGAGACAGAAAGAACAGGATAAAAAAATATGTTTATTATGTTCAGTTTTAATATTTTCTAGAAATATTATATTTTTGGTAGTATGGGGCAACAAAAAATAAAGGCCATATTTAAAAACCACAAATGCCAACAAATGAAATGCAACATTAACATTTTAAGTTATGTACAAATAGAAATGTTGCCAATGAAGAGATTTTACACTTAGGAAAATAATATTTAATAAAATTCCTTAAAACTTAGTTGTTACGGTGTTTAATGAAGTACAATTTCACTTAGACGGATCAAAATTCCAAAATTTTCCATAATTCTAGGAAAGCAAATCAGTTATATTGAATTCATATTCACACAATGGAAAGTATTTAAGTTCATGAAAGTAAGAAAGGTATTTTTAATGCATGAGGTATATTTTTAATTTATGAATATTAAATTAACTAAACAAATAATGAATGATGAAAAGATAAACCCTAGAACATAAGTTTAAGAAAGCTAGCATATAAATTATTTGATAAGAACAGGAAATTTTTTTTTTAAAAAAAGTATAAATATAATCTATTAGAAATAAATATTTGTAACTTAGAACAAGATAATTTTTCACAAGACATACAACTTTTTCACATTAGTTACAATCAGTCGAGCTGATGCTGTGATTTATTTTTTAAAAAAATAACAGTTCAGATTCAAGAATAACAAATACTATACACAATGAAATATATTCTGAACATTTAATTAATTTTAAAAATTAGTTCTGAAATATTTGATATATATATATTATATTATTAGGTATCTTTAAACAGAGAAAAGCTCAAATGAACCATTATATTCTTTCTGCAGACATATCAACATGTGATAAACTATACAGATTTAAATCTTGAAATAAAAATTCTAAAACCCTTTCTATGAATATTTGTGTTTTCACTAGCAAAAGACGAGCAACATAAATACATACCAGAACTTAGGTCTTTTACATTAAATCATATCTTTGAATATGAAGTCTTCAAAGTGTTTAAGGAAAAAATTTCAAAGATAGTTGCTGCTTTGCTAAGCCCACATGAGTACTTGAATTCATTCACTTTTATATTTCTTAAATCTATTTTTAAAAAGTGTTAATTAAAAAATTTAAATTTCTTTTGAATTGTTCACTTTAGTAAAATGAACTACATGTTTCAAAAGGTCAAATATTCAATAAAATATGGAAAGCATTAAAGTTTTTGTATAAAATCTGTCACAATTTTAAAGTGAATTTGAATATTCTAAGAATAGAAAGATGTCCTTACTGCTTTAGCTTTCTTTACTGTCTTGTCTTAGAGAAGATGAATCAGATCTGTAACACATATTTTAGTAGTGTTCTCAACTACAGGGGCATTAATATATCAAAATATAAATATTTCTTAGGCACTCTAACATTTCACTGCTTAAAGTATCACTTTACTTACTGAAATAACATAATAGAATACACAACAATCAAAATATGTTAAATGGCAAATTTATTTCAGATTTTTTTAAAAATTTATATTTGTATCATATTTTAAATTACTATCCAGCTTGCCTCCCCCCCCTTAAATCAAGCAAACCGTTAGTCACATAAATGTTGTTTATAAAATGAAAAATTTGCCTATTTAAATACATTTAAAATTTGTCATAAGAAATGTTTAAAAGATAAAAAAATATTTTAAAAAATATTTTAAAAAAAACCTACTCTCAGTATAAGCTATATTTTACAAAGTTTCAAAAAATTAACAGACATTATGTTTAAATAATATATATTAAATATAATCGAGGATTAAAAGAACAAACAGAAAAGGCATCCATGCAAGGCAATACATTAGTTGAGCAATGAAATAATGCAAGCTATTAAGTTTATAAATGAAAGATTAAAAACTGTGCAAAATTTTATAGTTAAAAGTATTCAAAGTTTTCATTAACGAGAATTGAGCATAATATATGTTATGGAACATTATAATACATTATACATTTAAAAAAAGAAAAAGATAAAGGAAAAATAATTTCAGGAATTATCGATTTCTCATTCTATACACAAAGCTTAACACATCTTAGTTACAATTTGAGCTTAACAAAATCGAATTTTAAAACTGTAAACTCCAAAAATACTACATTTTTCTGTTCATTAAATGTAGCATAACAGGTGGAAAGTTTCTTCTCCATACCAACAAAATACTGATGTTTCCCATGGAAGCCTAAAGATCCAATATTGATTTCATATTAGCTTGTTAAATTAGGGCAGAATAAAAACAAAATTCATATTAATTGGGAAAAAGGTTTAAATTTTTGTTCGTAAATAAAGAAATAGCTTAAATTTTGCAAAAGTTTCTCGGTTTTTATTATTACCCTTCTGTTTTTTGAATAATATGCTTCTACACAGAAAGTTTTATTCATAACAAAAAAAGGGACATCATAAAAACATGTTTAATGAATTAAATGTTAAATTTGTATCACTTCCTCACATATGATAAACAATCTACATAAACCTGCAGTATACACACATAACTCCGCATCACTGCCACATGACAATTATGCAATAGAACTAATTTATCATTCACCCAATATTAAGCGTATAAAAAGAATTGTATGAGGCCAATATTGTACAGATTGTAACACAAAGATTAAATTCTAATAAATGCTAGAAAATATACGCTGACATTTTCATGAAATGCCAAATTAATTATTCTTTCAACAAAAAACAACTAACAAATATGGCAACAATACAAACATATACTTCCAAATGTAACTGATGCAATACTACTTAAAATATGACTCAAAATTGTAATACATTCCATAAACTAATTCAATCAAAAACATGCAGAAATTTAATTTCTCAAATATTTCACTGCAAATTCATACACATTTTTCTTTCATTATACTGTTCAAGGAATTCTGTAATCATTTTTACAAAGTACTTCATATGTAAATACTACAAAAACTTTACACAGTTTGAGTAAAGTTTTAATGTTACTAATAAAATTCATTCACATAACACCATACAATTAAGAAACAGAAAAAGAGACAGGCCATTAATGAAATGGCGCAAATTATTCCAATTGTCTACAATAGTAAAATTTTGTGCATGAATAAAATGTGCTCTATAAGCTACTTTCCCAATAAGCACTTATTGGAATCTTGGAAGTACTAATACTGTTTCTTTAGGGTTGCCGATTACTTTCCATTATATATAAAGTAGTAAGATTTCATGATCGAACAAAATTTGACAACTGGATCCTTGGATTCTGACAAGTAGCCAACTGGTTTTCCATTTTAAGCTAAAACAATACCTTGTGTTTCCATCTAATCAAATAAAAACTTTATATTTAATGATTATTTAAAACAAAAGGAAGGTAGTTTTACAATTTTACAAATTTTACCGTTAATACAAGCAATTTTAGCAAAGCATTTTTTATTAATAATACATATTTAAAAACTTAGCTATATCAAGTCAATATGCCAATATTTCACTTGCAAGTAGCAGCATAATCACTACAAGGAAGATGCAATTTTAATAGTGAATGTTACATAGATAATACTGCAATCATGACAAAATGTCATATTTTGTGCTCATCTGCTATTTTTAAGTGACTCATTCTTTTAATAAATGTACTGTTATTATCCAGAAGCTAAGTGAAAAATGTTTATGCTATGAGAGTGATAAGGAATTCCTGTTTCAAAGCAGATCTTATTCTTTCCTCAAAAGAGAAACAACACCTATTGATACTGACATATATGAATAGCAAAATATTATCACTTGGTTTTGTATCAAATGTTGCTTGTTTCTAGAATATGTAATCTATAGTTAGTCCAGGATTTGCATTTTGAAGCCAATTCTAGACCTTGGTGAATAATTATGCTTGAAGCCAAGATACTAAAAACTAACCACTGTTTAACAGAATGCTGTATTCTATTACTAGAAGGACACCTTTGATGATGATTCCTTTAAAATTTGTTACAATTAAAAAATACCTCAAATTAGAAATATATATTACATCCTTCTCTACCAAAATTTAAATAAAATGAATTCAATTATGCTACTGATCATATGTCAAAAACAATGCTCAAGAGTAACAATTTAGAAATTCCAAATAAAGAAAAGAAAAAAATGGGAAAAACAAAAATAACAAATAGATTTAAACTGCATAAATGCTCTGAATAAGAAATGCTTTAATTGCTCAAATAATGACATAGCAAATTTGTGTTCTTATTTCAAAGTTTCAGTGAAACGGTGGTGAAAGCCTCATCATTTTTGCCTTATTATCAAAAAACCATATTTTAGAACTAGGTGCAGGGAGATTTCAGTTCATATGGAAAGGCTGGGGGCAACCCTAAATATGTCAGCATCATTAGCAGTGGGCAGATTTTATGTCTTCCTTGTGCACTAGAATTTTATGACCAGGATTTTTTATATCAGAAAATGCTAATTATTAAACTTTATTAATTTTCAGTTAGCTTACATTTTTATGTTGGTTACATAAAGTAAATACTTTAGCATTTATTTAATTCAACCCTCCCAAATGAAGTGCTAATGTGTTAACCAATGATTTAATAGAAACCAATGATTTGGAACTCTTAATCTGAACAAAATTTAACAAACTGCAGAATTTGTTAAATGAAAATTCTACCTACATAAAAAATATTGAAGAATTACTGATGCAAGTAATTTGGAGGACAAGTTTACTCATGCAGAGTAGCACTAATTTTATTTTGACTTTTTACTATCTTGAACTGAAGTTCCTTTTCAGCATTACTACTTAAAACACAATACACAATTTTAAAAGTCCATTCTCCTGCCCTGCATGCTGTTACTTAATACTCTTTGCTTATTGAGAAAGATAACTGCCATAAATTTCCATTACTCACTCCTAATAAGAAAAGAATATTATTATATGGGAGAGTGGCAAAATAAAATTCAAATATGTCAGAGCTGGTATATTAGAAACCAACAGATTTCAAGGCAGTACAGGACCCTCTCCCTCAAGAAGTAAAAATATCTCTCATCATCATTTATAATTTAAATCAAAAATACTAATTTCTTAGGCATTCTATCCAATGGTTCTGGACGTTCAATCAACTTGATTTTTAAGATAAAATGGTATTCATTAAAATTAGCAGTAGTATTTGATTTCACTCTTCTTCCATTGCTTTCCAAGGTTCATCCAGAGTTTTATGTCTGTGTTTAGAAAGCTCATTTTATCATTCCAAAGGCACAATACAGTACTGATGAAACATCATGAGACTGAAGAAATATGAACAAAAAGTAAATTTACTAATAGTTACTTGTGCAACAAATTTAGTAGTAGATTTGCATGTATGACTAATAAACAAACAGTTTTCCAGTAAACCGAAACTTACCTCAGGTTGAATTTTAGAACAAATTTATTTTTTGATTTCCATATGCCTCTTCCCTATATACTATAATATAGTTCAAACAGCTTGCCTGTTTACATCAAAAACCGAATGTTTACTACTTTAGAGAAGTCAACCACATTAACAACCATAAATTCATGTTATTTTACTTAGGCTCAAAGACCAAGGGTGGCTAAAAGATTGATACACAACCAATACGAAAAAATGAATAGGAAAATGGTGCACAAACATTACCATACATACATTGTTCCACATTATATTCAAAATACAATAGCAAAGAGACAGTTCCTTTTCAAATACTTTCTCATATACAAATGGGAAAAAAAAAAGTTTCATATTTCAAATTTTACGTATTTTTAAACAAAGGAAAATTTTTAAGCTGTCTCTGAAATAACAATGCAATGAAATTAAGAAAAATACTTCACATTAGCAACATGAAATTACAATAAATTCATAAAGCTGCTAAATCACACATTCAATCTGGCACTTGACTAATGCTTTTAAATCTTGTCCGTTCACTCAGCAGTTGCCTAAAAATAAACAAACAACCACATCTTAGACATTTCTTTCCTTAATTTCTTCCCAAACATTTTTGAGCAATATAACTGTAAAAAGGCTACATAGCCCCAAATAATTCTTGGACTTAATAGTAAATTTTAAAGATCTGAAAAGTAGATACATAACTAGCATTTTAATCTTTTTACAGCATAAAACATTATAAAAATATACATGCAATAACTTCACAAAATTTAGCAAATAGAAGACAATTATAGGGGGGGGATTTCAGTATTACTTCAAAGCACTTAAAAAACAAAAGGATGAAAATTTAAGAATAAAAGACCATACATTATAAACGATTTCAAAAGTGTTTGCAACTTCAAAAGCATGCAAAAATCATTCTAAATCAATGCTGATTTCAACTAAATAAGCTCACTGAATTTCCCATGATTATAAAATTAGAAAATAAAAATGTTTTACGTTAATGTTATTCCTTAAATGTAATTTAAATATATTACCATTATTTTAGTAAAATTTATCAATGTTACACTGTTTACCAAAAAATCATCGAAAAATTCCCAGATCTCCGAATTAAAAATTTTCTATAGAAATTAATTTTAAAATCGCCAAAATGTTTATAAGTCGCCAAATTTTGAGCCGTTTAATGAAAGAATTCACATCCCCAAAAGCAGAAAGTTGCTTTAATGGTCTTAATTTGAAAAAAATGAAATAATTTTGAAATGCTTCTGTTTGACTTATGTTTTGAAATGCTTTTGCTCAGAAACTCCAGTATCCCACCCTTTACATTAGAAATAGGAACAAATTGTAACCCATTAACTCATTCAAAAGATAATCATATTTGTCATTGAATTATCAAAAATATTCCTCCATAATGATAATTCACACTCAAAACAGCAGTCGTAAAAACAAGACAGAAATTTCAGATGATTAAAAATTAAGGACTTCCTGCCGATTTTGGTCGAAATTAAGGACTTTTAACCCTTTAAGGGCAGACGTCCCATATACGCATTCCCTAAGAATGTCTCTTACAGCCGGGCATCCCATCCACGCATCACTAGACATTGCATTCATAGGACCGGTAATGCGTATATGCATTTTAAGCTGGAATGTTTTTCTGAAGGCCACTAGATGGATCTTATGTCCATTACTTTTGAAATGAACACAGTTTTAGGTTCCTGACCTTGAGTTTGATATATTCTGTCTGACTTTGGTATTTTACTTATCAACTGTTGCAAGGGTGAGGGGAAGGAAAGTGTAAACACAGGTGGGCTCTTTTTGCCACGTGCTAATATAAATACTCGCGTGTCTGACTTATATCCAATTCCTTTTTTTTATTCAATTTTTTCCCTCTACTATATATGATCTTTTAGAATTCTGTTACATTTTGCATTGCCTTCAAATACATTTCCTTTTCTTCTCTTTTTATTTCAGAAAGCCTCATCTCCAGTCTATTATGGAGGAGAGGCACTATTTAACAGAGGAAGAATACCCTCATATGGTTAATGAACCATTTAACTAACGCAGATGAAAGTGATGATTCTTTTTCTAAAGAATTAGAAAGTGATACTTCTCCAAGCTTCGAGATTTACCACACTCAGTCTTCATTTTAAATTTTATTACTTCTTACTGTAAATAGTCTTAATTGTGTTGTTTTATTAATTTTAAAATTTATTGATGAATTTTATCAACTGAAACTTTGGAATAATTTGAATAGCGCTTCCGAAAATTATTTTACAAGATAAGGAAATTTATAAGTATATTTTCATGTAAAATAAAGAAAAAAAAGTTATTAAGTGTTAATTTTAACATATATAAGAGCTCAAGTAATAATATAAAATGACGCCAAAAATTATGATGCTAGAAGTGAAACTTTTTTCCCCGATTTTTTTCTATAAAATTAGGCTTAGCGATGCAAAACCTCCATCCTGTATTGTGACTGCCTTCGATTCCCTTCCGTCCCACATGAACGTCTTAAACAAAGGTGCACTGTCGCGAAAAGGTTAAGGACCAGAAATCGATTCCAAAAAACTAAAGACTTCTAAGGACCATATGAACCCTGAACATTAGATATGCACCTGATGAAGAAATTGGGCTATTCATTGCAAGGATAAAAATGACTGCAAAGAAGCTGAACACAATTTAGCAGATCTTTTTATATGGTTTCAAGCAATTCGAAGGTTACACCAGGAATACTCCAGGGTTGTGCAATTATTTGGAAGGAGAGGATTTTACAATGAAAAAAAAATCACTGCAGAACTAGTAAGGGAAGAAAGTCAACTTTTCCAGGTACAGGCGGATTTAGAAGACAGCAAGATAAGAGTATTTAATACTATTAGCACAAATGCTGAGAAAAATAGTCAAGTTGAAAGTAAAACTAAATCTAAGGAAAAAAAAGGGGAAACATGAAGAAAAGACTTTGTTACAGATGTCATAAAAGCGGACCTTTAATCGCTCAACATAAAGAAAATTTAAGTAAAAGTCTGAAGTTTAAAATGGACGATAAAAATGGGCAGTTTAAAGATAAAGTTAATGTTAGTAGAAAATTATGTGTCAACTACAGATAAAGGAGGTAACACAGATAAATTTAATTGGGTCATAGATACGACAGCTACATTTCTGCAATAACAAAAATTTAACGATAAACTTTGAGGAAATAAACGATATAAGTATCTCTTTAGCTGTAGGAAATTCTGAGAGTTAAGTACTAGGAAAGGGTACAATCAAATTTGCAGTAAAAGTGAGCAACCGAATAAATTGGATCAAGTTTAGAAAATGTGTTCTATAATCCAAATCTAAGAAAAAATTTACCATCAAGAGCAAGGTTAGAAAAGGCAGGTGCCCATCTTATAGGTTCAAATGGAAAGATATGGATATATTTTAATAATTGGGATAGGTTATGTTACACAAAACCATATGATGGACTCTATTACATAAAAGCACTTAAGTATGCAACAGATAAAAAGGAAGCTGGTTATGGTACAGAAACTAGAAATTTAAATAAAGTAGACAATGTGAAGCTATGGTACTGAAGATTTTGCCATGTAAATTTTGATTATATACCGAATACTAGTAAAAATCAAAGCGTGAAAGGCTTACCAGAAATCAAGAAATGCGACCCTTGTATTACTGCTAAATCTAGTAGAATAACTTTTAAAACTTTTCTTGGGAGATAAAAAAAACCACTGCAGTTGGTTGATTTAAACATTTGTGGCCGCCTACCAGTTCCATCTAAAGGTGGGAGTAAATATTTCCTCACTACTGTAGATGACTATAGTAGATTAGTAACAGTATGCTATATGAAAAATAAAAATGAAGCGTTCATTAACTCTTTCACAGGCAAATGGAAAAACTGTCAAACAGAAAATTAATTAGTATAGGCATCGATAACGGTGCTAAATTCTGTAACAGGGAGTTCAAAAAGTACTTATCCAAAAACGGAATTAGTGTTGAATGTACAAAAACGTATATGCCAGAAGAGAATGGTGCGTCTGAAAGATATAACCAAGATGCATTAGACACAGTTAAAGGTATGCTTAATGATAGTAAAGTGGATAAAGGATGGTGGGCAGAAGCTCTTGAATGTTTTGTACATGGTGGTTCACAAGAGCAACCAAACCCTTATGAAATATTACTCAATAGAAAACCCAGTGTTGTTTATTTTAAAGTATTTGGTTGTAAAACCTATGTTTACATACCAAAAGAAATAGAGATAAATTACATATGAGACGCAAATAAGGAATCATGGTAGGATATGCAAAGGAAACTAGGGGTTATAGAATATGGCTATCAGAAGAACAGAGATTAACAGAAACCTGTAATGTAAAATTTAATGAAAAAATCAATGCAGAAGGTAACATACAGGGCCAGAAATAAAAAACCAAGTATAAAACACTAGAAGAATCAGAGGGCTTATCAGAATTGGATAACAAACAGAAAATTTCTACAGAATGAATTAAGTCATTAGAACATAAATCTACACCGAACAAGGTTTTGGACTTAAACTGGCAAAGAAATGTGACTAAGAGGGCAGCCTAACAAGTACAGATATATATTAATATGCAGAAGATACACGTACTCGTTTTAGGTCTCATAACAATATTAAAAAACAATGTGAGGCTAGAAATATTAAATTTGAAAGTGATATGTTTAACTTTATTGGCAAAAACAAATACTCCAGAGAAGTTAATTTGTAAGAATAGGAGGATAGTTCCGTATCTGAAGAAGCAAATTCTGTAGAAATTATTATCCCAGAAAATTTTAAGAAACCATGGAAATAAGTAAATGCCAAAGAATGGGATAAAGGAATGAGGGTAGACACTGACATGATGAAAAAAAATGAAGGTCTGGGAATTAGTTGAGAATTCAGAAAAAATTATGCAGGGAAACAAATGGGTCTATACACTAAAAAGATATTAATAGAATGAAGTAATTAGATATAAAGCACATCTAGTTGCACAGAGATTCAGGCAGAAAAGAGGTAAAGATTTTGATGACATTTACAGTCCTGTAGTAAAGTTTTCAATCATAAGAATATTTTTCACAATACTGGTATGTTTGTATGAATGGACTGTCAGTTGGACATGAAAAACGCATATTTATATGCAAAGCTCAATGAGAAAATATATATGACCCAGCCAGAGGAATTTATTGAAGAGAAAAATAAAGTTTGTTTATTACACAGGGCCATCTGTGTGCATCTGCTGTTTATATCAAAGGGGCCGTGAATGGCTTTGTGACTTTGAAAATACTTTAGAAAATCTAGATTTTTACGAAAACACTATGGAGTAATTGTGTTTAAAAGAGCTCTAATGTAATTCTCTTATTATATGTAGATGATATTGTAATTATTAGTAAAGATCAACACAGTGTATATATAAAGAAATCTCATAGTTGGTTAAGTTTTTCGATCTTACAGTATGAGGCAGAACTAGAAAATTACTTGGAATTAAATATTTAGAAAATGACAAGGGGACTTTCATACATCAGCAAAAATATATCAAGGAAATTTTTGCAAAATTTAAACATTTTCAGATACCAATAACTTCACTTCTCATAGCTAAAGGCACTATTCTTCCAAAATTAGATTATCCCTCTTCAAGAGTAGAAATTGCTGAAATGCAAAATTTACCTTTAAGAAATCTATTGGGATGTTTAGTTTTTGTAGCTAATAGGACAAGGCCTGATATCATGTCTTCATTAAATATCTTATCGGAATTTCAGGAAAATCCTGGAATTAGGCACTGGGAAGCATTGTTGAAATTGCTTGGTTATCTCAATAGTACTAAATCATATAAGTTAAAGAGGATTAAATATCTAAATGTATATTGTTATTCAGATGCTGATTATGCAAGTAACGAAGATGACTGTGTGTCCATGGGTGGATTCATATAGTATTTTGGATGAAGTTCTGGTAATTTGGAAAATATTTAATCAAAAATGTAGAAGTTTATTCACCAAGGAAGCACAGTATATCATCTTATTGGAAGCAGCAAAGGAATTGATGTGGATGAAAAATGTCTTACACAATGAAGTTTTGAAGTACAATTTGAAAGAATGTAAACTGTTTTGCGAGAGCAAATCTGCCACTGTTTTTCCAGATCACCAATTGAAAACAGTCAAACTAAGAACACTGATGGTGCCCTTTTATGCATCTGTAGCATATGTGTTAACCCTCCAGACACACAATCTGTGAATAATATGTTTGGCATTTATCTTAAACACATGTAGGGAATGCTGTTATTGTGTCAGTTGAAACTGAGATTTCCACTGCGATTAACTTCACAGGAAGAAAAGGTGTGAATTTTTTTAATGCTTTTATGAATTTTGTACCCGTGATCAGAGGGTCAGATTACAACATACATCCAAACCGTGCAGAAGAAAATGCTGATTTGCACCCTGTTTGCACTTATTCATATTGCATTATGAATGGTATTGGGATCACATTTGGCTCTCTACACAGACAATGAATATATCTATTCTGTTGGCAGATGTGCTTTCCTTGATTTACTAATGAGTTAATATTATTATTGTCAATATAAAAGAAAAGTGTCTGTAGCTTAAAAAGTAACAGTAGTTACACATACAGTGCCAATAAAAAAATTAGCTTAGTTTTCTGGACACCAACATAATACAAGAGAGGATGTCAATTCTTTAACAAAGGTAGTTGAAATTAACACATGCTGAACTTATATGTGCATTTGTTGTATATTAATAAAATGGTGCAAAAATCATTTTAAAACATAAAAACTATTCATTCGTTTATTAGAAATAATGAAAAATAATGTATGTAATCTAAAAAGCCTACAGTATGTAAGTTTCTAAAAAATTATGAGTTTTTAACAGCTACTGCAACAATAGTGTCTCTCAAATTACAAATAATCCTGGTATCTGAGGCAAACAGTAAATTTAACAATATCACTTTTAAAAAACATAACAATATCACTTTTAAAAAACAATCAGCACCAACAAACATACCAGGGAAAACTTGTACTAAACAAAATAAACTAGCAGTCATTTGATATCCTTTAATAAAGAACATGATGGAAGTTGAAAAAGGCTTGATTTATTTCAAACCATAAGCTGAGATTTTGTGCATTTCTTAGATTAGAACTGAGGCACAGTAAAAAAACTAAAAAATCAGGCAGGGAAAAAAAAGGGAGACTTTTTACTAATGATGATAGAAAATGGCTTCTGATCCCTACAAGAGGCTAAAGAATATGTTTGCTAAATAGTATAAAAAAATCATAGTTGAAAAATTCAAAAGATCAAAATAAAAATAAGTTATGATGAAGTATATCAACACTACTAGCTCCAATAACAATGATGGCTAAGTTGGTTCATCTAAGTTCTTTCTTCTTACAATTGTAACTCTGACAGCTGAAGAAATACAAGCATAGGTTCAAGGTCTATTCAAGGTGTGATAATGTGAAATAATTTTTTCTATATATTATACAAAATCATTGTATAAGGTATTTTCTCCCTCCTTTCAGCATGCCTTTCTGGTGTAGCAGTTAGCACACTCAGTGTGTATTTGAGAGATCCAGGTTTGAGTCCCGGCAAGGGCATTGCACATTTTTCAAGTCTCCTGCTTCAAAATAATCTAATAAATTTACAATTGTTCTTGAAATTAAAATAATATAATGTTCAGGTTATTAAAAACATTCAGCATAATAAACTGTATACAGATACAAACAGCAATGTCATTTAATTTTTAAAAGGCAAATTAAAATACTTTGTGCTCTTTACAATTAAAGCAAAAAATTAATTTAAAACAAAAATAACACAAGTATAAAAACTGCCATAAGAAATTCTCATAATACTCTACAGTATACATTTAAAATTAAATCAATTTCATTTAAGCAGCTGCAATAATACAAGATTACATTCATTGTCAGAAGTTATATATTCAAATCAAATTCAGTCAAGACTATGTCAAGACTCCTTGATTCTAAAATGTTGAAAGAATACATAAGTTATCACTAAGCTGACAACAATCACAAAACTTTGTTTTAAGTTGAATGAATGAAAAAAAAAAGGAAATTTTCTAAGAACTATAATTATTGATTACAAATGAAGAAGCTCAAACTTTCAGCTAGGTCATTTTGATACAAGGCCTCAATACCATAAAGGTCCAAAGAGCTCTTTCTTACCTTAAAACACTTTGGTGGTGTTTACAAGTGGATTTCATAGCAGCAGCAATCAAAAGTAAATTAAACATATCTCTCTGAAAGTAAACAGAAGAAAAAAAAATACAGATTAATAACTAATTTAGAATCTGAATTGTTGAAAGTGAACTACACATGTTGCAAATAGCCATAACATGGGAATTCCCATCAGGAGCTTATCAAGAACAGGGTTTTTAAAGATATTTTTACTAGTAAAAACACGAAGTCGGCAATTAATACACATAACTGCATTACAAAACTTCTGACCATGATAACCGTTTTGATATCAATATCACATGATTTTCTGCAACTCAACTCTCCACGCAGAAAGACAGTAAGTCTTCCCCACCATGGCATTTTAGCATACTGTTCCCTTATGTTCTTGATTTTGTAGACAGTGTTTAGTTTAATTAAATGTTAGACAATAAATTAGTCATATGTTTACTTGTGTGACATACACATATAAAAAATCTACACATTGGTGATCCAGATGTGAAGCATGTGTATATACCCCTATATACTGGTCCACATAATGATTTAAAGGAAAAAGATTTTGTAATAAGAAATAAAATGACAAAAATGTGTCAACTGATTGTTTAAAATCTAAGTATGTGTTAACTGAACTGACTTCCACCACAAATCTATATTCTGTTCAACCATCAAAGGTTACTAAAAGTGATCCAAATAACACCAAATACATACCCACCATGCACATCATGCAGTGGATGATGTGAGTTTTTCCTAAGAGACTAATCACTATTATTTAATATGTTACTGAATTATTAATTCTACAGTACTCCATACCGTCACAGTTCTTTGATTTTTTGCAGATGCCATTGTGTTTCTGCATACTTATTAAAAATTTTTGTATCATTTCAAAATTTCTGCATCATTATGTTCATTTTGTTTATAGGGATACTCTGTAGTGACTGTATCACTATTTCAACTATCTTTATAACTCAATTCTCCATCCAGGAAGAGAGTCAGTCAGTCTTCCCTGATGCAGTACACTGTTCTATGATGTTCTTTATTTTGAAAGTAGTGTTTAGGTTAATTAAATGTAAGTTATGGAGTCATGTATTTATCTATGTGATATATACACATCATGAATCCACAAAAAACATCAAGTTCATTTGTTACATTCTGTCTTCCCGATGCGTGCTTTTCACGAAGTTGCATGGATATTGTTGGTGCATTATTACCATCAGAAGGTAATGTACTTTTTAACACTAATAGGTTACCCAGATGACCTGAAGCCATGCCTATCCCAACATGAAAATGAACTATTTGCACGGCTATTTTCAATGCATCAATCTCTCACTTTGGTCGTAGAAACAGACAACAATTTTCAAATGCGATCTAAAATGTCTGTGAAGTTAATATGCATTTTGCATACAATCAATCACAACAAGGATCTACCATCTAATGCCTAATGGCATAACTGTACATTTGCATTGGCATTTAAAACCTTCTCTAGAAGCTAATGATACCAATAAATAGTCCGAAATAATCCCAGTTCTTCTGCTGGGCATTAAACAGCCCTCAAGGTAGATATGCACATCTCTTACTCGAAACTGGTTTACGGAACAACTTTCAGGCTACACAGCAATATGACAACCTTTTAGATCTCCCTATATGACACTAAATTCATAATTATTCTCTGCCATAAAATGAAAACTCAACATCTGCACACTCATAAGTCACAATAAGTATTACATTAGTTATATCTTGTGTACACACAATCAGTCGATATGTATGTATACGTACATATCGACTGATTCAAGCCACCACAATGCCAGACATAATCAGGTCTGCACAAAATTCTCACCAGAACCGATCAAACTTCAACAATTCAAACAGGCAGCTTCAAATCTACTATGTCTATTGACTGCATAAAACCAGCCTATTTGCTTTTGGACTCTGATTTGAATGAAACCAAACTGTCGAAAGTTTCAACAGAAACCTTACAGATAATTCAACAGAATAAATCTGCTACTGAAGTCTCTAAGATAAAAACTGCCACAAAATCATGTAGGAATAATCACATCCTACGAAAACTTATCTATAAAATTTTAAAATATTTGAAATTTGCTTTTTGATACAACAGCACTGTAAACCTCGTCACACGTTCAATCAGATTTTACCCCTCCTAATTTTATAATTAGAGGGGGGAAACCCCGACAGCATGGATCCTCTAATATATATTTTTATGTCATTCCTCTCAACTGATATTGAAGGAACTAGAGAAACCAATGGCGATTAGTCATGGAAGTGATGATTGAATGTGCCTTGCCCCAGTGTTGTTTTCTATGAATATGATAAGCCTAAAGAGAAGTTTTCAGAAAGATAAACACAGTCCAATCTTTTGAGATGCATGAATTATTTTAAGTTTTAAATAAAGACCATTTTTTAATGTGTATGGAGAGAGACTGAACTCCTTCATAAGAGCTATGCAAATATAAATTATGCCATAACCACATATTCAAGTTATGCACAGAAAAAATCTTGAGAACTCCCATATAGCCTATCTCGTCACCAGGAATTTAACCCAGGTTGAACTACCAGTGTACCAGTCAGTAGCTATACCATTCAGCCACAGGTAGGCAAAATATTTCAGGAAAAAGAACAACTTTTTTTTCACGGAACAAAATTTTAAGACAATGACAAAATATATTTAACAGGCATTTCATATTGGGTAAGCAGCAGATAACAAATACATACGAGTATAAAAAAACAGTAATGCAGAAGAATGACAAAATAAAAATGTGAAATTAAAATTGTAAGATAAACAATAATGAAGTATATATTTAAAACTCTGGGATATATAAGATTGAATTTTCTAATTAATATGCAAATGAGAACAAAGCAATAAATGCTAGACTGCTGGTAGCACTACAACGGAACCTTGGATCAAGAATTTTTTTCCCAAACAACAAGCGTCTTGCATGACAAATGATATCTCGAGATACGAACAAATAAGTTGACCACAAACAATACTTCAAAATGCCACTAATGCATTGAAGGAAATGTCTTCTGTAGAAGAACTAAGAAAGAGTTTTTTAAATCACTTCATCCACAAAATATCTACAAAATGAATTTAAGTTGCAAAGGTTCAGAAAACAAAAATACCCTGAAAAAGCAGTAGTAAGAAGTATCATAAATATTTGCAATAACAATGCTTCAGGAATATTTTAACACATAGAATCAAATCACACACAACAAATTTTTCATGGGAATAGGACCCACTGATTCTCAAGAAGAGGCAAGGAGCATAAAGAGAAAAGGAAGGGGTAACGGAAAGACAGCAACTATATATACTTATATATATTTATGGGTACTAATCTTATATGCACCCTTCAGGTTGCCAAATGTGGTGATATGTGTTCTACGTTGGTTTTTGGCATGATTGTGTGTTCTGCATGGTTTTGGGGATGATATTGTTTGTATGGCAACCCTTTTGACATTGAAACTTACTCTTTCACTACAATGGTTTTATTTGCTCATTGGTTCACGTCATGTGCGTTTTGAAATGGAATGTTGCAATGAACGATGTGGTGGGAAAATTTCAGTCGTGTATTATAGATTGTGTGCAAAGTAAATTTAGAATTAAAAGGTATGATGTTGGAGTTGTGAATGAGTCTTGTTCACGAATCTGTTTATACGGATCAAAGTGTATTTTTGGAATTTCTGTGGGAGTCAGGACTCTGAAGCGGAATTTGGCATGTCCGAAATGCGGAGCTGATATGAGAAGTCGTACGAAGAATAGCGTTTCTGATAGACTTGTGTGGGTTTGCAGGCAAATGGTTGCTAATAACGTATGTGGCTGTCAGAGGAATTTAAGATTTGGAACGTGGTTTTTGTGCAGTAAGTTAACTTTGGAAGAAGTTTTTATCATTACCTTCGGAATTTTACGTGTGATATTGCAAAATCGTGGCACTTTTGTTCACAGATGTGTGACTGTCAAAATTTTATTCACAAATGTATGTAATGTATGTTGGATTTTGTATGCTCTTGATATTTCTGCTGTTTGAAGAAGCATTCATTATGGTAAGTGCATTTTATTTTATTGTTTTTATTTTGTAGAAAGTTATGTTCATTTCTTTAGTATGAATTTCTGTCGTTATTGTTGTTTTTTGAATTGTTTATAATTTATTTTAGTTATTTTATTTTGTTTTGTTGATTAGTGCCTAGTGCCTAGATTGTACAATTTGTAGATTTAAGTTTAAACAGAACCATGTGTACATGGTATTCTTTGAAATTTATTGTTATGTTAATTTATTTAAGCGAGGTGTGCGTAGTTCGTAGATTCCTTTGCTGCGTAGATTGTGCAATTCGTAGATTTTTTTTAAAGTTTAAACACAATGCTGTGTACATGGTATTCTTTGAAATTTATTGTTGTTATGTTATATTATTTAGGCAAGGTGTGTGTAGTTCGTAGATTCCTTCACTGCATAGATTGTGCAATTCTGTGACTTTTTTTTAAGTTAAAACATATTGCTGTGTACATGGATTCTTGTCAAATATTTTTGGTTAGAAACTTTATGTTTTTGCTATCGAAATTTTTTGTTTTGGATTTTTAGCTTAAATTATGATGGGACTGCAGAAGCAAAAACTGCATTTTTGGAGACATTTTAGGCTTAAAGTTTGAAATGTAGACAAAAAAATTTAGATAATTATATGGCACCATGGAGTTTCTTGCCAAAAATATTTGGCAAGAAATTTGTCGCCAAGCGAGGGCGTATATAAGAGTAGTTCCTTTTCATGGTATATTTTTATGGAATAGGATATTTCAAACAACCACATTTTGTACCTTTGGCTTCATCACCATTTTTTACATAAACAGTCTACCTTCTCTTGCAGAGATATGGTAAAATTTAAGTTTTCTAATTTTGTAAGTTTACTACTGTGTATGTGCTCGATTTAACGAATTCCATCAGTTTTGCATGATCTTATGTTTTAGATCTTAGATTTTAAGTGTTTTTTCCTAAGCAATCATTTGGGATCTAAGAATGGATTAATTCATTTTACATGAAAACTGGTGTTGTTTACAACTATTTCA